AGGGGGTGAGGATGGGGTAAAAAAATTAAAGATTGAAGTTGAAAATATATATTTTTTAATAAGCTTTAAGTTTATTTTTTTCAAAAAAAAAATTGTAATTTGAAGTTGGAGGAGAGTTTTGGAAAATATTTTCCTTAATTTTTGAAGGGAAGTCATTTTCCTTAAATTTGAGGAAAATGAGTTGATTTGGAAAACATTTTACCCAATCAAACATGAGAAAATTGGAAAATATTTTCCGGAAAGTGTTTTCCTTCATACCAAACACACCCTCTAGCTTCTATTCGTTTAATTTCTTTCGTGGCTATTTGTTCGTAAAATGTATGAACTCAAATGAGAGGTTAAAAGAAGTGTCTACATTGATTCTCATTTCAAGTGAGTGTTGTACATGGATGATCATGATAGAGTATATAGATACAACTCTATCTCCAAATGACCACAATGTCCTTCTTAATCTTTAATAGACTTTCAACAGCTTAACTAACTCCTAATTGACATATCTCATCTTCACACCTCAACACTATTCAGTTTTGATCATCATATCCGTATGGATTTGTTGCATTTGAGCATTGCAGGAGATAAAGGACTATTTTCCCTTGCACCACCTCACCAAGGAATCGATGGATAATCGTCTATAAATGGAACAAGAAAGATAAGATGCCAAATACACAGGAAGAAAGAACTGGAAAAAGAGGAGTTGTTGTGCTGAGTGTGATGAAAATGCTTCACCTTTTACGATATATGATGGTTTCACATTATACTAGTACAGTCAAACCTCGTTAGAAACCTTGCTAAAGTAGCATCGTCCATCTGAAAATTCATGATTGATATAGTCCATCTGTCTTACCTTAAAGATGCATCTTTGTGGTGGTTTGGGAGTATAAGAATGATCCACAACTGCGGGGAAAGATATAACATTACCATGTTGATCTAAATATAACAGATGTACTCCTATCTAGCTTCTTTATTATGCCTCCGTCAGTGCCATCCTCTACTGTTATCTGTTCCCCGCCTTTGATCTTAAGGCCTTTAAAAGGTCTACCATTTGAGAAAGATAAGTAATATACACATGATACTTCCCCGTGTAATTCGGGATACCTAGTCCAGTAAAAAAAAACTAAAGGCTTTTTATTGGATACAGCAATAAGGAAGTGTCCAAAATCTGATAAAATCTTAGAGTCGCAAACAAACCAGAGAACCATTCCTAACAACTTATTATTATGTACTGTGGGAATAGTGAAACAGATAGATATTCACTATACATATTCAATTCTTTTAACTAAGGTTTAGTGCAGTTCAAGAAACTAGCAGTATACAAATGGAAAAAAGTCGATTCAGTCATCACTCATTCCCCAGCTTTATCCAAAGGAAAACTATCAGAACTTTGCTCTTTTATGCCTTGCTGAAGTTTTTCTGGAAATGGGGAACACCAATAGTCGTCCACGGCTGCCACCAAACATCATTTTCCTTTTTCTTTTTGTCTTCTTTTCTTCTAATACTTTTTTTGCCGGGAAAGAAGTAACATTGCCATGTTGGTCTAAATATAACAGATGTACTCCTATCTTCTTTACTATGGCTCCGCCAGTGCGATCCTCTACTCTTATCTGTTCCCCGCCTTTGATGTTCAGGCCTTTAAAAGGTGTATCGTTTGAGCAAGGGATGTAATATACACATGATACTTCTCCACTGTCAGGTTTATCAGTATCCCAACTAAAATAAAAATCTGAACGCTTTATATGGGCAACAGTAACAACAAAGTGTTGAAGACGGATGGGTACATTGCAAAAGTGGCAAACAAACCAGAGAACCATTCCTAACAACTTATAGTCATTAGTATGTAGTGTGGGCATAGTGAAACAAATAGATGGAGCTGTTACTTTATTGCTGCACCAATCTGGAATCTCATTGCTTTCAAGATAAATTTGTACCTGCTGCTTCATCAGACAAATTAAGACACAATTAGATCATTAATTAATAATGTGATACGAGAGAGAGATCAGAGAGAAGGAGAGGGACTAACCTCCTGATGCAGTGGATGTTTTCTAGATGGAATTGATAGAGCAGGGGTACTAAAGAAGCCTTCATTGAATGGATTCTGCAGGGAAGTACAATTATTCATGTCGATCCTCTCTATTGAAGGGAGGTTGTCCAAATCTGTAATCTTGACCAGTTTTTGGCAATTCCTAAGATAAAGAATTTTAAGCTTCTCTAAATTTGATATTGACGGGAGTGTTTGAAGATTCTTACAATCATTCAAATACAAGAACACCAACAATGGTAACTTGGAAAAATCAAAGGGTAGATAGAGGAAATTGTTGCCCCTCAAATCTAAATGATGTAAGTTGGATAATCTCCCAATATCCCTAGGAATATCAGCCTCAGAGAAACCACAGTATGCAAGACATATATTCGAAATAAAATTAGATAAGGATTCTATGCGGCGGACTCTTCTTCGAGAAAAACTCCTTTCGGCCTCTAAAGTTTCATCTCCCACTCGCAATTTTTTAAGATTTCTCAACATTTCAACAGATCCAGGCAACTGTTTTATACCCGTACCCCATGCACAAAGATGAGTTAGGCTTTGCATATCTCCAATGTCAACTGGCAGTGTTTGTAAAGATGAGCAGAAATTAATGTTCAAGTATTCAAGGGATTTTAGCTGGCATATGCTGCTCGGAAGATCCGTAATCTTTTTGCAACCACTCAATTGAAGATCAATTAGTCTTTCCAAATTCCTATTGATGGATGGATCTTCTTTAGACTTGAGCAATTCTCAAGCGACAAAGTTTCAAGACTTCGTGAACCCCTGAAGTTTGGAGTACTTCTGAGGTGTTTGCAATTAGAAAGATTCAGCTCCTTCAAACTTCTACAATACTAAGAAGTAAACAAAATATAATTTCAATTAAGATTTTCCTTCACGTAGTTGCAATATAACAGTACACATCAAATTGCAGAATTGAGTAACGAACCTGCAAATTCAAACCAAATTCTTCGATATTGCTCCCTTTCATATTCAGGATTACAAGTTTCTCAGCTGGAAAATTTGATGGTATACATTTTAAAGGACATCCTTTCCAAGACAACCATCTGAGCTCCTTGGACAATAGCTCAAAATCTCCACTAATATGTAAGTCGTCGATTTTAAGCACCCTAAGTTTTATCATTTTCTGAAATGCTTTTGTGCTCAGCTTCACACCCTTTAATGCATGTCGTTCTAACACCAATACTTCTATATTTTCGGAACCCTGTAATTTAGTAAAAAGAAAAGTACGAGAAATTAGGAGAGAGTGGTTGGCAAACAACTAGAGATAATTTACTATCCAAAGAAGAATTAAGCACAAATGAATTGAGTTCTTGTGGTGAGTGGTGACAACCTAAATTATAAGCAAATGTATATCAAATTAAATGAAAAAAAAAAAGAGAAGAAAGTATAACCAAGATAAAGATAATGAAATTTACTTACTTTATTTCCTTGTAGAATGTCATGGACTTCTTGAGGGTTGAACAATCTACTCCGTTTCCCAGAGTCTTGAGGTGATTCCCTGCGAACAATTTCTCTTCCCATATCCCGCACAAGATCATGCATCACCAAACAACGCCAATCCCTTTGGAGCAAGTGTCTTTTGACTAGAGTTGCAATTGCACTTTCACAATAAAAACCACAGGCGTTTAATGTTTTGGTAACTTCATCCTCATCACATCCATGGAAGGCGCATGCAATATCAAGGAAAACACCCTGAGTATTATCATCAAGTCCATCAAAGCTTATCTGGAGAATCTTTTGAATATCAAAATGAGGAATTGTTCTTAGTTTTTTGAACTCGTTTCTCCATTCTTCTACGGATCTCCCTTGAAAATGTGACCCCAATGTCACAAGAGCTAATGGTAGCCCACCTGAATATTTAATTATGTTTTGGGCCAGCTCAAAATATTCATGTGGTGGAGAAAGACTGTTAAAAGCATGACAAGAAAAAAGTTGTTGAGCTCCATTGTCATTTAAAAGTTTGGCCCTGTATATCTCACTTGTTGTAAGCCCATATAGCAAATGCTCGTCTCGGGTTGTAATAATTATTACACTACCAGAGCCAAACCAACTTCTTTCTCTTGTTAAGGATTCTAATTGGCTTCTATGATCCACGTCATCAAGAACAATTAGAACCTTCTTTGACCCAAGTCTTGCTTTGATTAGATTGACACCTTCAGCAACACTATCAACTTTGAATTCCTTAGTTTTGAGAATTTGACAAAGTACTTTTTCTTGTAGCTTGACTAGACCCAATTCTTCAGCTTTTGATCTAATGTCTGAAAGAAAGCAACTACCACCAAACTGTTGAAATATTCGATTGTAGATAGCTTTTGCCAGAGTTGTTTTTCCAATTCCACCAAACGCCACATATACCAACCATGCGAACTTCATGCTCACATCCACTTTGCAGTAACAACTCTATATGCTCGATAGGAGAATCTAATCCAAGTTGGGTAATGAGCAACATCTAGAGGTGTCTGGTTGGCCTCTTGCAGAACTTGTTTTATAATACTTTCAATAAATTTTGATTCATGCCTACGGTTTTTCAGCAATAACAGAAGTTAAAATTTAAAAAACGAAACTTTGATATTTGAAAATATTTGATGAACAAAACAAAATCCAACCCAACAGACAATAGCCAATAGGGAAATTGAGGTTAGAGAATGGAGATTGTCCATTACTACTACTCCCTCGTCCCAATTCATGTGATGTAGTTTGATTTGACATGGAATTTAAAAACTATAGAAATATTTTGAAATTTTCCATAATTAACCAACTTATAAGATTAGGCAAACGCTTAAATTTAAAATCTTATAGTTGAATTAAGAAGTCTTACCCATCAGCAACATTTCGCAAATCCCATCCAGATAAATTCGCAGCTTCAGTCAGTGCAACTTTCCAATTCTCCACTCTTTGAGCTCCAAACAATCGTTCCTTATGTTTTGCCAAAGCTTCACCAAGGACCCAGTTTGCCTTCGCACTTGAGAAGGATCAACATCATAGAAATAGGCAAAACTACCTGCTTTTAACCTCACTCTGCAATCGAGAATTTTGACAAGTTCATCAAGACACCAACTAGAGGAAGCGTAATTTTTGGAGAAAACAACAATGGCAACCCTTGATTGTTCAATTGCTTTCTCAAGTTCGGTTGAAATGACGTCTCCCTTTCTTAATTCCTCATCATCTATGAAGGTATTAACTCCGACTTGACACAATTGGGTGTAAAGATGACCGGTGAAGGTTTTGCGAGTATCTTCGCCTCTGAAACTGAGAAATACATCGTAAGACAAGTTGGAAGAAGAAGATAATTCTCCTACAACAAACTGTGTAGGCATATTTGATAACAATAATTTTAAGGGATTTTTAGATAATTTTTTTGTTTTAATAATGAAAGAAAGATGAGTGAAGCAGCTTCTACATATACCCACAGGTATTATTTGTTCCTGGAAAATTAATAATGGGTCAAGTCATTTACAATCCCCAAAGAAGCATGACAGAAATGAAAGGGATGTTTCCAAGATATTTCATAGAAATGTCTCGTTCATTTTTATTTGTCATGATATTAATGGATATACGGCTTAAGTCATCGATAGTCCTTTAAAGTTGTCAACATAATTCATTTAGACACTTTAATATTAACGAATATTTATCTACTGAACATAAAATGACAACTAGTTTTAAAAATATTGTGCGTGTAATTCACACACATTATGTTGACAAAATCACGAATAGAATTATGACACGTAGCACATGGGCCCACAATTTTAATTTTGAAAAATAAAAAATAATTTTCAGCCTTTAATAATATAGAAAAAATTAAATTGATAAAAAAAAAATCTCTCCCCCCACCTCCACCTAACCCCGCACCCCATCTAACCTATTGCCCTTTCTTCTTCATCTTCTTTTCTGTCATTCCGCCATTGCCATTCACCATTGATTCCTCCGGCGATAACAAAAAAGAAAATGTCGAGCCCCACCTCATCCTGAATTCACCCACCAAATCCTTTCCTCTTTTTTTCTTCGTTATATTCTATTCCTCCGGCGGCTATTGCGATTGTTGACACCCAATTTTAGACCTCCACAATATAAATTAATCATTGAGCTTCTTCAATTTCAAGCGATTTAAAATAATTAGTTTTAGAAATTTTTCAAAAAAATATAATTAATAATATAGTTCGCAAGTTGTTTTAAATAGTCTTGTCACTTTTTATAAGTTTTAGATAATATATATGTTTCACATAATTATGTATATAATTAGTATATTTTATGAATATTCGAAAATCGTCTCAAAAAGATTTTGTTTTAATTAAATATATGGTTAATTAGTTAGTTATATAATAGTTTATATCTTAAATTATTTAGTTCATATTTGAGTTAATTATTTTATTTCGTTAAGATTAAGAAGTTCATTAATTAATTTATGTTAACTCATCTTGTTTAAATTTTAGCCGAATTCACCAATTAAATTCTATTAGGCTATAATTGAAATCCATTATTTAATAACAAGTTTTAGTCAATTGCCTATCCCATTTTTTTTAAAAAAAAAACAATTTTTGGGCCACTTCCTAAAGGCCCAATTCTAATTCCCTATACAACAAATAATTCCAGCCCATTCCAAACAACAACTCAACAATAATTCCAATTCAATACCCCTTTTCCAGCAACACCCACAATCAACCGACCCGACTTCACTTCTTCTTTTCCCTTACGCCTACAACCCAACAGCCGCAATAACATACCAACAATACCCCACCCCTACGTCTTCTTTTTCACGCGCAAATGCAGAAACCCAGAAACTCGGCCAGCGAACCAAATCACGCAACCCAGAAATCGCGCTGCAAAAATCTCATCCAACTACCCTGCAGAACCCATACCCTAGCAGCCTCAACGTCAAGCCCTCACGTCTCATTTCCCCATTTTTTCAGGGATTTCTAAATCTCTTCACTGATGGCTTTGGAAAAAAGGAATTCGAATTTCTAATTCAATTTCCCACTCGTTTTCCCTCATAAATCGACCCCCTATTTCCCCTATAAATAACCCTCTACACTCAAGTGAATGGGACAGGTTTTAGAGCTTGGTTCTTTGACAATACTCATTTTTACATTCAAGAAATTTTAAAGCGATTTTCTAATTCTAAGTTCTAAGAAAGGTTTCGTCTGAAATTACTTTGAATTTCTTGGTTTGCTGCTCGAGTCAAAGTTGTGCGAGAAGTCGCTCTCTTTCAAGCTCGCTGTCGTCCAGTCGCTGCTCCGAAGAATGTATACTTCTTCATTTTACTTTTTTTTTTCTTATTCTGACTGTAGTTTGCTGTTTGGTATGGCTGATTGATTTTATACTTCCTTTGTTGGTTTAAGTCTTAATTTTCTGCTTTTAGTACAGTAGTATTTGCTTGTTTGTTCTGTTTTCTCGCTAGTTCTCAGTAAGAAATAGAGTTCTCGTTCTCTTTGAGCTATTAGCCTTTTGTTCCCGAGCATGACTAAATGTGTATATATTGAATTTTGGAAGTTTGGCATCAAGCTATTGCTACTCTTATTGTGTTGATTTCCATTGCCTTGTGGTGATTTTTTTTTCTTTTTCAAAATGCTTTATTTACGTTAGTCCGTCCTTGCTTATCATGACTCCGTGGTAATGTTTAGTGTTCGACGTCACATTTTTCATTCTTTCACCTCAAGTTGAAGGAATGAATCAAGACGTCAAGATTTCGGTTTTGTACTATACTTGTTGTAACCCATTTTGATTCTTCTGACCTTCTTTTTCTTGGAAGTCAAGGCTTTTAAGTCTTTCTCCACATCTGCTAGAGTTGCTTGAAGTTTATCCATGGATCCATTCAACTTTTCATATGCTAGCTTTGCACCATCGAGCCGGCGTTGTACATCAGAGAGGGCCTTTTCGTGTGATTCTTTAGTCATCTTTGATGATCTTAAACTATCATACTCTGCGTACGACTTGAAGAAATTCTCGACATGATCCTCTAAAGAAGAAACATCAATAATATTTACTTTTCTAATCTCCTCAAGAGTTGAAGCAATACTTGACTCCAATTCTGTAAAGCCATATGAAGAACCTAAGGAAAATTGTGTAATCCATCCACACAATGCGCCCCACATCTCAGAAACAAAGGTTGATTTGGCGCGGTAAATGGTTTCTTGTGGCTCTAAAGTAGGAGCACCAGGTCGCAAATGGCCTACTTGGTGACTTTCTTGGCGGAACTACTTCCAATAAAGGCATCACATCATTAGAATGTGACTTTCTTGGTGGAACTACTTCCAATGAAGCTGATCATCATTAATGGAAGAATGAAAGTCTTTTGCAGCCGCATCAAGATCATTAAGATCTACTGTGAAATCTGCAACCGCGCCATTGTTAAGGTCGCCACCATATAGTTCTTGAAGGTCCAACTAAAAAAAAAAGTAAGAACAAAAAGATGATCAGATTCAAAACTTTGAAAAAAAAAGAGATGGGGGCCTTACTTGTTTTGCCAATTCAAATAACGAGGCCGAGTTCGAATCCTCATCAACAAAGTCGTTATCATCAATGACAATTATATCTAAAATATCAATACCACAACAAACATCATCTAGCTCTTGTGCCTTTCTTTTTGGACGATTCCAATGACGATCCGTTGGACTGGGAGATGCATTGGGTCGTCCAACACCATCTGGTAAAACATACAAATGAGAAATTTCATCACAAGGCATCTCAAGGTTTGACGTTTGGTCATTACCATTGTCTGATGATACATGAAGTTCATTTGTTCCAAAAGAACCATGGCCAACTTTAGGAGCAGGTGAAGCCGCCTTTGAGGCTACTGTAAGGCGCCTCAATTTTGATTTCGCAGGCACATCCTTATCTTTTGAGGTTTTAGACTTGGATGAGGTCTTAGCGACTTGCAGAGTATCATTTGACTTCACTTGAGATTTGGAAGAAGGATGTGACTTTTCCTTTGATTGATCAGAAGCCCCTTTAGATGAAATGGATGTAGAGTCTTGCTTCGTCTTCTTCAAAATGATGCGGAGGTTTCCTTGGGAAGTATTCAGCCTTTGGGATGGCCACCAGTCTACATACTCGCGGGTCATTAAAGGAGCACCCTCTAATGGGCACGTTGGAATCATGACTTTAGAAAAAGTATTAAGTCGAAAAGAGGAATCCAAAGTTGCACCAATGTTAATAATGTACCATCGTAAGGACGCTCCATAAGATCTCCGGGAACATCTTGACAAAAATCGAATTGTCGACTAAAGCTGGTAGGGCTGTAGGACTCCACGATGAAATTTGAATCATGCCTAAGGGTTACATAGCTTGAACGAAGGTTTATGATATATTCATTCCACGAATTTGAAAGCTTGCCATTATCAGTAAGGTGCAAATCCCTCCCTTGCAGCATTGCTAAATGATGGAGACGACGGGCATCATCCTGTTGAAATAACTTTTGGGCGTCAGTA